TATTAGTTGGTCGACCATCCTGGTTTTAGAGGGGTTTTGGCCATTTCCAGGCTGGTCTTAGCTGTTCAGGCTGGGAGATGACCAGCTAAAACCAGCTTGACCAGCCAAGCCAAGCTGGTAGTCCAGCCAAAACCAGCTATATGCAGCTTAAACCAGGCTGGTCAAGCTGGTTGTAGCTGGATTTGGCTGGTCATTTTCCAGCCTGACCAGCTAAGACCAGGCTGGAAATGGCTGGAAACGGCCAAAACCCCTCTAAAACCAGGCTGGTCGACCAGCTAAAACCAGCCAACCAGCCTAGGCTGGATTAAGCTGGATTTTTCAGCAGAGAAGGTTAAAAAATGTGTGTATTTCTGCTTGGAGAGATTCTGTGTGGGTCTAATAATGTCTAATGTCACTGCTATTGGCATCAAACAATCACAGAGACATCCGCAAAGAAGGAACACTTCCATAACATGTCATCTGGTTATAAAATAGGCCACTTACAAATACGCTTTCTTACAAGGACATGAATGATCTGAACGTGTCCTTGAGAAACATGAATATGGGCCAAATGCTACACATAAGCGGCGACTACAAAGTGCGGATTATGCAAAAAATAAAGAAAGAAACTGTCAACTGTTAATGCTTTTATCTTGAAATTAAAGGCACGCAGAAATAAGCTTTATGTTTTTAAAATCACAACGTGTGGGAATCAAAGCCGCAGCCTTGACTTGTGAACGTAGTGAACAGCAGGCGTTTTGTTTAGTGCAACAAAGTGAAGCTGTGATTGAAGCATGCTAACAGTGGAATCATAAAAGAAGCAAATGCTTATTATTCATAAATATAATACAAAGTGAATCAATTTTGTCAAGTAAATGAATCTCGCTGTTATGCATGCAGAGGAGAAAAGGCACCTTCAAAAATGACTAAGGTGTTAAGGTTGTGGTAATTGCCAGAGGCAAAAACTTATCTTGTTTTGACATCTATAAAATACAGACGTTTTTATTAACCTCAGTTACAGTGCAGCCGGAAAGTATTGATGGCGCTTCACTTTTCCCACATTTGTTTATGTTTCAGCCTTATTCTAAAAAGGATTAAATTGATTGATTTCCTCAACATTCTACACATAATCCCCCATAATGACAATGTGAAGAAAGAGTTTTTTAAATTGTTGCACATTTATTTAAAGGCTGTAAAATCAGATGTCCATCAGTATTCACAGCCTTTGGCGTGAAGCTCTAAGGTGAGCTCAGGTGAGTGGACATAATTTGAAAAGGCTACACCTGTCTATATAAGCTCCCAGGGTTGAGAGTGCATGTCAAAGCACAAACCAAGCATGAAGACAACAGAATTGTCTGTAGATCTCCGAGACAGGATTGCTTTAAGACACAAGGCTGGGGAAGGTGACAGAAAAACTTCTGCTGCTCTGAAAGTTCCAATGAGCACAGCGGCCTCCATCATCCGGAAATGGAAGATGTTTGACCACCAGGACTCTTCCTAGAGCTGGCCGGCCATCTAAACTGAGTGATCCGGGGAGAAAGGTGATCAATAACCTGATGATCACTCTGTCTGAGCTCCAGCGTTCTTCTGTGGAGAGAGGAGAACCTTACAGAAGGACAACCATCTGTGCAGCAACCCACCAATCAGGCTTGTAGTGGCCAGACGGTAGCCACTCATCGCCTGGAATTTGCCAAAAGGCATCTGAAGAACTCTCAGACCATCAGAAACTGAACTCTCTGCTCTGATGAGACTCAAACTGAACTCTTTGGAGTGAACGCCAGGCGTTACGTTTGGAGAACAGCAGGCAGCGCTCATCAGCAGGCTAACAGCATCCCTACAGTGAAGCATGGTGGTGTTGGCATCATGCTGTGGGGATGTGTTCAGCAGCAGGAACTGGAAGACTAGTCAGGATAGAGGGAAAGATGCATGCAGCGATGTACAGAGACATCCTGAATGAAGACCTGCACAAGAGTGCTCTCCACCTCAGACTGGGGCGACACTTCATCTTCCAGCAGGACAATGACCCAAAGCACACCACCAAAATATCAATGGAGGGACTTCACAGCAACTCAGTGAATGTTCTTGAGTGGCCCAGCCAGAGCCCAGATCTAAATCCTATTGAACATCTCTGGAGAGATCTGCAAGTGGCTGTACACTGTTGCTCCCCATCCATGAGAAGGAGCGCTATCCTGCTGGAGAATTGTCCCTCTCTTGTGGTTTGTAATGTAATGGGCAGCACAGATGTCTTGATATCTCAAGCTGTTGATGTTGCAGATCCCAAACCCTAAACCATGATGTTTCCTTCACCAAACTTGACTGATTTCTATGAGAATCTTGGTCCATGCTGGTTCCTGTAGGTCTTCTGCAGTATTTGTGATGAGTTTGACAGACGATTCATCTGGAAAATCTACCTTCTGCCACTTTTACAAATGATCAACTAGAAGTCAGGGTATTATTTGTTGCTCTTAAAACTGGGATCCACGACAAGATATATATATATAGAGAGAGACAGAGAGAAGATGAGAACTGCTCTGATCAAATAAAGTCATTTTTGAAAATGAACATTGAAGACTCTAGACTGGATGCTGAAGTGACAATCGCCTGCACACTTGACTAACGCGTCCTTCGGGGAGTGCCCTTGATGAAACAATCCAGTTGCTCACTTCAGACTGACCCTACAAAGTGCCCTTCAAGGGCGCAAACATGTCATTTGTTGCCAAGAAACACAAAACCAAAAGAACACTCAATGAAATCCACATGCTGCGTCCTAATTCGCACACTATCCCTCCTAAATAGTAATCGAAAATAGAATTAGTGTGTCAGCACTCTGGCAAAAAGTAATGACATTAATTTCCTCGATTATTTCAACAACCAATTCCAGTTCCCCCTGAAATGTTTGTCATTAACAGATTATCAAACTAAAATGACTGGCATGTGTCTTGTTAATAATAGATCATCTGTTTAACACACAAGCTGAAGGCATTTGTAGATTTCGTGTGCACGATTGTTAGCAGACAGAGCGTGAGGCTGATACTCCTGATTCCGGTCGACAGCAGATAAAGAGATCAAACTGTGTGTGTATAAATCTCTCAGGACAAACACGCAGAGAAGTGAAGACGTCGGAGGAGACAGAATAAAAGAGGACGAGCTCCTGAAGTCATCTATAGCTTGATTACACCTATGCTGCAGTGTGGCTGACGTGCCGACTAATGAGGGCTGACGCAGGGATAATTGAACAGCGCTCGCAAACGCTTTAATGTCCCAGATTTCTCTCGGACTGAGACAATGGATCGCTCACAGTCCACATACACACACATTCAAAAGCACGACTCGCGAGCTAACATCTGATTACAGGGTGTTTATGACAAGGATGCGGTGGATTTGGAAATGTCTGCCCACGTCTAACTGATGGATCAAACCCAAAATAGTCACAAGACAGTTTTGTCTCATTAGAGTGGGTGGGCAGAATCAGCTGCAAAGTCTAAAGTTATAAAATAGAAACGATTACACACATAATTTGGGATTATTGCTTTAAAAAATGCATTATTGGTCCTTACCCCAGGTGGAGGAGAGTTCAAGTATCTCTGGGTTTTGTTCAGGAGTGAAGGAAGGGTGAAACGTGAGATTGGCTGGTGGATCGGGGCAGCGGCAGCAGTAATGCGGTCGATGTACCGGACCATTGTGGTAAAGAAGCAGCAGAGCCGAAAGGCAAAGCTCTCGATTTACTGGTCAATCTACGTTCCTACTTTCACCTGTGATCATGAGCTTCGGGTCAGGACTGAAAGGATAGGATCTCGGATACTAGCAGCCGAAATGAGTTTGCAGGGTGGTAGGGTGCACCCTTTTAGGTAGGGTGAGGAGCTCTGTCACCCGGGGGGAGCTCAGAGTAGAGTGTGCTCCTCCACATTGAGAGAAGTCAGCTGAGGTGGCTTCGGTATCTGTTTCGGATGCCTCCTGGACGCCTACCTAGGGAGGTGTTCCAGGCATGTCCCACCGGGAGGAGACAAAGGAAGACCCAGGACACGCTGGAGGGACTATGGCCGTACTCAAACTAGGTACAGTTGCCTCGAACCGGGCCAAAGCACGCTTGTCCCCCCTCCAGTCTCCCCCGACGGCCCGCGCTCACACCACAAACGGGCTTTGGCACGCTTACGTCATCGCTGCTGCGCTGTTCAGTGAGAAGCGCTCTCTCACTCAGCAGCACAGTGGAGATTTCTCTAGTTATATCGTTTCAATGGTTTGACATGCCGTCAGATATTTTGCCAAACAGTCCTTAGGGATGCGGGAACACACAGTCAGATATTTCGCTGAACAGATCCGCCACTTTTGGCGCTCATAAACAATCATAAAGCTCTCGTGCTGCAGGAATGAGGAGGTCTGCTGAAGGTGCAGCTGTCGTGCAGTGAGGGGTTTCGTCTTTAATAAACTACGGCAGTTTGCGTTCACTGAACAGTAAGAATCATTAATAAATCCAAATGAAACAGCCCCTTAAGAGTCACGTCTCGCTTTCAGTTTCGGGCTTTGGCGCGTTTTGCACTCACACACAAGCGTACCGCGCCAAAGCCCAAGTGAACCGCGCTCAGGCACACCTCTTCCAACCGGGCCAGGGCCGGCCAAGTGAACCATGCTTGAGCCCAATTCAGCGCACTCACACTTCTCAAACGATCCGGGAAACGGGCCTGGGCACGGTACGGATGGCATAGTGTGAGTACGCCCTCTCTCGGCTGGCCTGGGAACACCTCGGGATCTCCCTGGAGGAGCTGGAGGAAGTGTCTGGGGAGAGGGAAGCCTCCTATTCTCTCCTAAGACTGCTACCCCCTCGACCCGGCCCCGGAAAAGCACCGTAGCGTAACAGAAATAGTCCCAAATGGACAGACTGGATTATAAGCGTACTTGTAAAAAATGTAACATGATAAAATGGTCAGCTGAAGTGTTCTGGCAGGAATAAGCTTCAGAGTTGGCTCAAGTCAAGACAGACTGTATTACAAGCGCACTTGTAGAAATGTAACTGCAGTTCTTACCTCGAGCTGAGACTTCAGTTGTTTGTTGTGGGCGGAGTCTTGAGAAAGCCCCTCCCTCTGGGCGGCGTCTGATAACACATTGACTGTAGTCTCCGACTCGTGGAGCCACTTCAGGAATAACTCAAGCTCCCGGAGCGACGTTTGCACAGACTTCAGGTCTAAATCCAGAGCAGCCTGACGATCTGATGCCCTGATCAACACAAACTATTTTCAGTATTTTTAGGCATATTTAGTGTATTCTGACCTACAGTAACCTTTGATTAGCTTTGTCAATGGTTGCTGTTGGTCAAACTACACAGACTATGCATCTAATTTGACTGTACACTGAGGTTATATGCAGATGAAAACAACTATTTTACTAGAAAAGTGTCCCGTGAACACTTATGCTGTGTTCACACCAGACACAGAACGTGCAAATAGCGGGAGATATTCATGCGTTCTGCGTCTAGTGTGAACACTGCGTAAGTGTGAACATAGACGCGTGAACATTTTGAGATTACTTGCTACATTTGCGCGTCAAATTTGCTTCATTTCCACGTCAAATTACACACAATAGGCGTGGATTAATGGGCAGGGCTTTTGTCTGAGCTAACCTTCACCGCCAAACAATCACAGTCACTTCTGTTGAGCACTGGTGAAACACAATGGCAAATCAGTGCTGTTTAAGAACGTGCCCAACAGCGCTTAAAAGTTAGCGGGAAATTGAAGTTTTTTTTATTCTAATACCGAAACTCAGTATGGTGACAAGTTTAATACAGTGAAAGAATCAGTTCATTAACTTAAGTTTGATTAATGGCATCTGAAACGTGTGTTTGAGAAAGAAAATGTTAGCTAACTAGTGCCATTCCCCTTAACTTAGCGGAAAATGATCTCTGATATCCATTTTTATTTTCACTATACATTTAGAACAGACCTTCGGGTCACTCGGAAAGTGATGAAATAATAAATGTGTGTCACTTTCTTTTTGCTGTTAAGATAAACAATCAGTACACAACAATACGCCATCACGGACGCTGTTCCTGTGTGACTCCAGGCGACACATTTTACATTTACATTTAGTCATTTAGCAGACGCTTTTATCCAAAGCGACTTACAAATGAGGACAAGGAAGCAATTTTCACAACTAAGAGCAACAATGAATAAGTGCTATAGGCAAGTTTCAGGTCTCTAAAGTCTAAGAAGGGAAGTATTAGTATTTTTTTTTTCTGGGTTTCTTCCCACTGCAGCCTCGCTTTCACTTTTAAAATGGCAGCCATGAGAAATCAGTCTATTGGGGTGGTCAAATGTACATTTATATTATCTATTATTTTATTATTATTATTAATATTATTATTTAATATACAGATCAGAGAAAACTAAAGAGAAAAACTAAATAGGGGGTTAATTCACCCCAAACCCCCATATAATTTGCACCCCGTGGGTAACTATACTTGGCAATACTTCATTACTGGGCCTTTAACCTAACAAAATCATTCATTCAATAATTAAACAACGTGTAGGGTGAGTTCAGGTAATTTGGTACAGTGAAAATCAGGTCAATTGGGACACTTTTTGCCATTGAGATGACCAAAGAAAAGTGTCCCAATTGACCTGATTTCACTGTACTTATTGACCCATGCAAGCAATATATATATATATACAGTTGAAGACAGAATTATTCGCCCCCTGCTTATTTTTTCCCCGATTTCTGTTTAACAGAGAGCAGATAATGTCAGTACATTTCTAAACATACTAGTTTAATGTCTCATTTCTAATAACTGATTTATTTTCTCTTTGTCATGATGACAGCAAATAACATTACACTAGATATTCTTCAAGACATTTCTATACAGCTTAAAGTGAAATTTAAAGGCTTCACTAGGGTAATTAGGGTAACTAGGCAAGTTATTGTATAAAGATGGTTTGTTCTGTAGACTATCAGGACAAATATAGCTTAAAGGGGCGAATAATATTGACCTTAAAATGATGTTAAAAAAATTAAAAACTGCTTTTATTGTAGCTGAAATAAAACAAATAAGACTTTCCCCAGAAGAAAAAATATTATCAGACATACTGTGAAAATGTCCTTGCTCTGTTAAACATCATTTGGGAATTATTTAAAAAAGAAAAAATTCAAAAGGGGGGCGAATAATTCTGACTTCAACTCTATATTAAAATAATAATATGCAGAATTATTAGAATTATTTAACGGTGGGACGACAATCCAAAACTAATATTGTTTAAGGGGGCTGATAATATTGACCACGAAATGGCTTTAAAAACTATTAAAAACTGCCAAAATAAATATATTTATTTCTAGCCAAAATAAACCAAATAAGACTTTCTCCAGAAGAAAAAAAATATTATAGAAAAAATATACAGGTGAAAGTTTCCTTAATCTGTAAAAATATTTAAAATATTGCACAGGGGGGCTATAAATGTTTTCGTCAACACTGACTTTATGGAAATGAGTATGCATTGTGTGTATATGAGCGTGTGCGTGCATGTACCTGTTGTTGATGCTGTTCCAGGAGTTGTTGTGTGTGTCCATGACCTCTTTGACCTTGCGCGTGTCGTCATTGGCGTAGTCCTGCAGCAGCTGATTGGACAGTTCATTAAAAGCAGAAACGCTCTCCTGTCCTCGACTGAGCTCCTGCAGGAACGCCTGAACAAAAACACAACAAGCACAGATCAATGCATGCCAACACACTATTACTGCAAGCAGACATAGGATAAAAACAGGTCTCAAGGTTTACCGCGGTTTGGAAAAGTCAAAAATGTTCTGTTCTACCACTCCTATGGTACATGTGAGGTGTTTCTTTTACAACTATTTAAGTTAGTTTTTAATATCTCCAGAGGAAAATGAGCCTCCACATCAAAATCTACTGATTATTTTTGGAAACAGGTGAAAACATTTAATCATGTTGTAGAGCTGAACAGTGCTGTAACTTTACTTTATATCCACAGACAAGACAGATATCCTGAGATGCCTTTTCAAGATGTACAGAAATCTGTGTTTCTGAAACTAATGAAGACAGCAGACATCAATGATTTACTTGAATTATTCAGCCTGACATGTTTACAGCTCCAAAGTATCAGCAACGTTTCTTAAATTAAAATATATTGTGTCCAATGGGACATTTAAAATGAACATATTTTAGAGCAGTAATCACAATATCTTGATATTTTTATTATCCGAGGTTATCATACTGTCAGAGTCCTAGGTCTTACCACAACAACACTGTTAAATAAAAAAAAACATAGACATCAATCAAACAGACTTAAAATTATTTTAAAAATGTAGTCGCAAAATTAATTAACGTATTAAAGTGAGTTAAAGCAACATAAGTCGGTGCCACAGTTGACCTACAGTTGAAGTCAGAATTATTCGCCCCCTTTGAATAATTTTTTCTTTTTTAAATATTTCCAAAATGATGCTTAACAGAGCAAGGAAATGTTCACAGTATGTCTGATAATATTTTTTCTTCTGGAGAAAGTCTTATTTGTTTTATTTCGGCTAGAATAAAAGCAGCTTTTAATTTTTTTAACACCATTTTAACGTCAATATTATTAGCCCCTTTAACCAATATATTTTTTTTCTATAGTCTACAGAACAAATATCCAACCCAAGCTCATTCTAGCCCCACGGACGTTTCTGGAGACCGCAATTTAAGTGGTCGGAGGTACGTAAGGCCGCGTTTAAATTTTTTCGAGCGAACGCTGCGGGGCGGTGTGGCGCCGCTCCGCCCCTCCTCTTCGCGCTCGCCCACCGATGGCTCGCCTCCGAATGGAGGGCTTTCCCGATGCAACCAGTTTGTCCGCTTAGCTCACAGCGTTGCGTCAGCGGGGATGACGACTGGGATCGAGTCCTGGGAACAGCGGTTCCGGAAATCAGGTAAGACGAAAAACGGAATCCGGAAAATAAGGGCGAAAATGTGGCGGGATCCGAAAACGCGGTCGAAATCGAAGATGAGGGCTTTAGCTTTTTTAGCTTTTTTTTTTTCTGGTCGGCTTTTGCGAACCGTCGCTCGGGTTTAGGGAAGGAGGAGGAAGAAGAGGAGGAAGAGGAGGGCGGCCGAGTCGGCCGATCCAGCGGCTTTTCGCGCGAGAACGGCGCGGGCGCGAACGGCGCGCACTCCCGAGACGCGAAAAAGTGCGCACAGCGGCCTCTCGCGGATCCCCGAAAACAAAAACCACTTGAATACGTACCTCCCGGGACGTAAATCGCGGTCCGCAGAAACGTCCGCTGGGCTACGTTTCCACAATGAGCCCGGATTGCAAATATCCGTTATACAATAACTTGCCTAACTATCCGAACCTGCCTAATTAACCCAGTGAAGCCTTTAAATGTCACTTTAAGCTGTATAGAAGTGTCTTGAAGAATATATAGTTTAATATTATTTACTGTCATCATAGCAAAGAGAAAATAAATCAGTTATTAGAGATGAATTATTAAAACTATTATGATTAGAAATGTGCTGAAGAAATCTGCTCTCCGCTAAACAGAAATAATAACAGGGCTAATAATTCAGGGGGGCTAATAATTCTGACTTGAATTATTTAATTGAATAATTCTGACTTGAATTATTTTAATAATTCTGACTTCAACTGTTTATAACACAGAAGTGCTCACGACGACCAAAGTTTGATTCAAGATCCTTTGCCAATCCTTTCCCCTCTCTCTGCTCCCAAATCTTTCCTGTCTGAAATCTTCACTGTCCTGTGTCATAATAAAGGTGAAACCCTTTAAAAATATTACAAAAAATAATAATAAAGCCACATAAACTTATTTGTTTTCTTGACTTTTTGTCATTGCAAAAAAAAAAAAATTGCTTTTCCTCGAGGGTTTTTTATTGTCTCGTTCCAGTCCAAATATCGCAAAGGAAGTCAAAAATCAAGAAGCATTTACCATACAAGCACAAAATGTTGTCTTGTTTTCAGAAATAATTAAGTGGGGTCAGCAAAATATACATGTTTGTCATTTTGATTTAGGATTATTTGGCTTTCCCCATTAGCAGATTATTTAGCTTGTTGTAAAGTAAAACTCACTTCATTATTTCTGAAAACAAGACCACACTTGCTCTTGTTTGTCTAGTAAATGCTTCTTGATTTAAGTATTTGCAGATATTTGGACTGCAAACAATACATTTAAACATTTAAAGATAAGCTTTTAATCAGCATGGTGGGCTGGTGATACACTTTTATGGTGTTTTTACTTTTTTAAGCTATGTTTGTTTCACTAAAAAGCCCTTTGTGACTTAAATAAACACATTTTACTTTCTTACACAAAACAAGAGGAGTCTTATTGCTGCTTATTGAGTGCTGATGGAACATCAGAACACTGCTGTCAACAGTAGTAAAACCACAGTTTCTAGCCCAAAGCAAACACTGATTTATGTCCAGCAGTAAAATATAAAAGGATGGAGTAAAATATTAACAGCAATGGATGGTGAAGTGTAATTATGACTCTAGCATCCCCTACAGGTCAGCTATAATGTGTGTGAATGTGTGTGTCTGTGCGCGCATGTGGTTCAACACTTCACTCATGATTTCATATTACAGCTTATTTTCAAACATCACCTCTGATTTAGTAAACAAACATTACATGAGAAAGTTATTATTATTATTATTATTATTAATATTATTATTATTATTATTATTATTATTATTATTATTATTATTAATTGATTTATTTTATGTATTAAATGTATTTATTTATTTATTTATTTATTTATTTATTTGAAATGTCATAAATATTTTTATTGTTATTATTTATTTGTTAAATGTATTTATTTATTTATTTATTTGAAATGTCATAAATATTTTATTGTTATTTATTTATTTGTTAAATGTATTTATTTAATTTATGTATTAATTAAATGTATTTATTTATTCATTTATTTTAAATATTTTACTATTTATTTATTTATTAAATTTATTTATTTATTTTATGTAATAATTACATGTATTTACTTATTTATTTATTTTAAATGTCATAAATATTTTATTTATTTTATAGTTATTTTTGTTTGAAATGTCATAAATATTTTTTGTTATTTATTTATTTATTACATTTATTTATTTAATTTATGTATTAATTAAATGTATTTATTTTTTTAAATGTCATAAATATTTTCTTTATTTTTATTTTTATTATTGAATTTTTTATTAATTGATTTACTTTGTATCTAGTATACATGTAACTGTTAACGTAATTATTTCAAATCAAAAATCATTAAAAATCAATGTCCATTTTACATGTTTAGGGTAAAACGTGGTCAAAAACTAAAGTTTGTCTGATGTCATGTTTGAGTTAATTACAATCTTTAACATGTAAAATGAAGCATTTGGAATAACTCTCTCTTATTACCTCATTAAACTGCATAATTAACTTACATTACTAATTAAACAAACAACATTAAACTAAATGTTTGAGCTTCTGAAGTACCTACTTAAAGAGAAAAATTAAGATTTGATCATTATTTATTCACCCTTTACTTGTTTTGATCCGTTAAAGGTTTATTCTGCTTTCTTTTCACGGCTTTGCGGTCAAAAAATGTGATTATAATGGAAGTCAATGGGGCAAAAACAACCACCAAACATAACAAAAGGGAGTCAAAAAACAGTAAAAAGGGGTTAAATTGCTAATAAGTGAGTTATATTGTAGAATTAGCATTCAATATTTGCAACACCCAAAAACAACATTGCATATAGCACATTTTTCCAGTATTGTACAGTTTTTGAGTCACAAAAAAAGAAAAGAAAAACAGAATGGTCTGTATTCTGCCGCACAATATAATGCTGAAATAAGCCTCTTTCACCAGTTGGGCCTATTAGGAACAGGCCATTGACTCTTTTAGTTTCTAACAAGGCCACTAAGCCGAGACGACACTGAACTCTGCATGAAACAGCATTAACTCAATCCACTCACAGCACATATCCCTCAACTGCAGACAGCGACACTGAGCCATGCAGAGGGAATAGACTCAACACACTGTAGCGGGACAGGAAGGGCTAATTAGAGAGTCATTCATTCAGTCTTTCCAACAAACTTTCAAGAACGCCCGGCCTGAATGAATGTTCGAAGCAGCTTTATAAGACTAACTATAACTTACAGAGGAAGAGAGAGAGGAAGGAAGGAAGGAAGGAAGGAAGGTAGGAAGGAAGGAAGGAAGGAAGAGGGGAAGGAGAGAAGGGAGAGAGGAAGGAAGGAAGGAAGGTAGGAAGGAAGGAAGGAAGGAAGGAAGGAAGGAAGAGGGGAAGGAAAGAAGGGACAGAGGAAGGAAGGAAGGAAGTAAGGAAGAAAGGAAGGTAGGAAGGAAGGAAGGAAGAGGGGAAGGAAAGAAGGGACAGAGGAAGGAAGGAAGGAAGGAAGGAAGGAAGGAAGGAAGGAAGGAAGGAAGGAAGGAAGAAAGGAAGGTAGGAAGGAAGGTAGGAAGGAAGGAAGGAAGGAAGGAAGAGGGGAAGGAAAGAAGGGACAGAGGAAGGAAGGAAGGAAGGAAGGAAGGAAGGAAGGAAGGAAGAGGGGAAGGAAAGAAGGGACAGAGGAAGGAAGGAAGGATGGAAGGAAGAGGGGAAGGAAATAAGGGACAGAGGAAGGAAGGAAGGATGGAAGGAAGAGGGGAAGGAAATAAGGGACAGAGGAAGGAAGGAAGGAAGGAAAGAAAGAAAGAAAGAAAGAAAGAAAGAAAGAAAGAAAGAAAGAAAGAAAGAAAGAAAGAAAGAAAGAAAGAAAGAAAGAAAGAAGTAATGAAGGAAGGAAGGAAGGAAGAGGGGAAGGAAAGAAGGGACAGAAGAAAGAAAGAAAGAAAGAAAGAAAGAAAGAAAGAAAGAAAGAAAGAAAGAAAGAAAGAAAGAAAGAAAGAAAGAAAGAAAGAAAGAAAGAAAGAAAGAAGGAAGGAAGGAATAGAGGAAGGAAGGAGGAAAAGATGGAGGAAGAGAAGGAAGGAAGGAAAGGATGAAGAGAGAGAGAAGGATGGAAGGAAAATGTAATTGAAGGAGGGGGCGAGTGGACAGGAAGAGGAGGGAGGGAATGGAAGGTAAGGGGGAGGGATGAAGAGAATGAAGGAAGGAAGGAAATGATGGAAAAGATGGAGAGAAGGAAGAAAGGAAGGAAAGAATGGTGGGTGAGAAGAAAGGAAAGAAGGAATGGGAGGAAGGAAGGTGGGAAAGAAGGAAGAAGGAAGGACCCTTTGCCAGATCTTTCTGAATGAATTGCCTACTACATCCAATCAGCTCACAGTAGAAAAAAACAAACCACGCCCACTGTGTTCTCATTGAATATTCCATTTATCTAGAAACTGCATCACAATAGGAAAAACTCAATAAAAAGGTCGCAGCGTCCGGTTCATGCGGACGGTAAGAGGACACATTTAGATGCGACACAGGTCAAGTTCTCACCTTGTTGTCGCTGATCTGTTTGGTGAGCGGCTCTCGGCTCTGCTGCAGCAGGTTATTCAAACGCAGCTCATTCTGGCCAATCAGAGCCTTCACCTTGCGCCTCTGCTCCTCCCACTGGTCACTGTGGCCAATCATGTGGTCCAACTGCAGAAGCCGTGTCTCCACGCCATGCTGTGTGCTGTCCCATTGGCTGCGGACTTTCTCCACTGACACGCAGAGGGAAAACAGATGCCAACCACACACACACACACACACACACACACACACACTCATTCATTAATGTGTACAAAAGTGCCATCGAGACAACATCTGAGGTGTTTTTATTAGCAGTAAACTTAATCAAAACTGAGATTAAGATCAAGCCTGAAATGAAGATTAAGAAACAGACTAAGATTAAGACTGAGATGTTGACAATACAACTGAGAGACTGAAATGAAGAGGGGTTTCAGATGCTCACGCTTCTCCGAGATGGATGTGCGCACGTCCAGGTTGGAGGTTTTGTTCTTGATGTTTTGGGCCAGTGTGATGATATCCTCCAGCTGAGGGTGTCTCTGCTCCAGATCACCTTTGGTCACCTACAAAAACAACACAAATCACTGTCATTCCGTTGTGGCGACCCCAGATTAACAAAGGGACTAAACCGAAAAGAAAATGAATGAATGAAGATGCTAATCCAATTCAATGATCTATGCTAAGCTAAGCTACAAGTGCTTCCGCCATACACTGAGATCAACTGAGGCGATTATAAAATGCTAAAACTCAACGATTTAACTCTTGGAGTGATGTTAAAAGAGCTTATTTCATAGTTTTTCAAAGTTATCAGACATCCCAGTGTGTTTTCAACACTAGCGCCTCTGACCTGCAGGCGGCCGATGGTGGTGCGGATCTCGTCTTTGTCTCCGAGCGTGACGATGTTGGACTTGAGCATCTGGTGTATGAGCAGCAGCCAGTCCGCCAGCTCTGTGGCCGTCTGGTGGAGCTCGCTGGGTCCCATCATCAGCTCCGGGCTGCGGCGCCGCTCCTCGCTCCGCAGACTGACCATGTGCACTGCAGAAGGGACGCTCGCTGATGAAAACACAAACACACACACGGTTTAGGGCTGAATTATACTTCTGAGTGGAGTGATCACCATACATGAAAGACTATATGTAACCCCACCAGTCCTTCTCAAACCAACCTGCTCCGAGCTGGTATCGAACCGGCAACCTTCCGCATGAGAGTCGGTTGCTCCAACAAGGAGGCTTAAAACCATGGCCTCTAGAGTCTGAGGCTAGAGCACCTTTAGAGGTCAGAGAAGTGGACAGCACTTAATAGCTGGCCTCTGTTACACTCCCCCCTGTAAACCTCACTCTCATCCGGGTCACGGCACCAATGTAACCCCACCGGTCCTACGCCACCTAACCCGCTCCGAGCTGGTATCGAACCACTGACCTTCTGCATCGGAGTCGGTTGCTCTACCAAGGAGGCTAAAGACCATGGCCTCTACACTAGATGTCTTTGAAACAAGCCCCGCCTTCTAGTACAGGAGCCAATCATTGATCGATATAGACTGATGATTCTCTGGGGGAGGGGCTCTGAAAACAATGTGTGTTTTTAAGACAGTTTTTGCAGCTTCGTTGTGAATCCTCTGGGTTCAATAAACACACTGGAATCTCAGCGAATGCTTGCTTCACAGACATGAGGAGAATATCCACAGAAAGCTTCAAATCTGAACTTCTAAATCAGGGGTTTTCAAAGTGTGAGGCGCGCCTCCCCTGGGGGGCGCCAGAGCATGCCAGGGGAGGCGCGGGAAAAAAATATAATATAATAAAAATATAATTATTAAGTTTAATTATTATAGGTATTTTTTATTATATTTAAACGTTTTAATTAAACAAGGCAAAAAAATAATAATACGTCAAATATTAGAAAACCCAGAAGGCCATAGCTGTGAATTCGCTTCTGTTTGGCAAGCCCGCCAATACAGGTATATGCCTGCTAATACAATGGGTCGGTTTCTGAGACCCCCCCGATTCAAAGCTGTAATGAAGTTCACGGCCCTTTGGCCGCCGGGAAGAAGGAGGCGGAGAACCGAAGCAGTTTTAAAGTAATTTATTAATGACAGTGACAGCAGCTCCGTCTAAACCAAAACAAACGGACGGCAGCTCCTCATGGAGACTGCCGTCAAACTGAAAGCAAAAGTAAAATATGTCCGGGCCCGGTCCTCTCTTGGCTTCCTCTGCCCTCGTTCCTCCTTTTATGATCCAGAGCTCCTTCCGTGGGATCTGAGGCAGGTGCGCACCGCAGGTGTATCCACTTACGCGGTGGCCTCACTCCGTTCCCACGGCGCTCGGCCACGCCCCCTCGCCACAAAAGCCTTTAAGTTCAGGGCTTAAACCCAAAAGACGACGATATGATGATCAGTATTTGAGTTTAGGATTTACGTGGACAGGACCAGCTGATGAACCACGACCTTTATGTGTGGTTTGTCAAAATATTTTGGCTAATGACAGCATGAGACCCGCTAAACTTCCACTGTTTTGACTGGGATGGACAGTTCTTGGATCAGTTCTATTCATATTGAACCATCATCCTAGTTTTAAGAACGTTATATTAAAATACTTGTTATTGCTCTGTAAATAATTGCACTTTCATGCAAATGTTGATAAAAGTGAGTTAACAGTCTGACATCTGTGTGTGTGTGTGTGTGTGTGTGTGTGTGTGTGTGTGTGTGTGTGTGTGTGTGTTTGGGAGGAGGGGGGCGCCAATGGATAAGTTGTGTCAAAAGGGAGGCCCACTGTCTAAGACTTTGAAAAACCCTGTTCTAAATGAACCAACTTTACTTGAAAACAAAAGATTTTTGGTTTTTTAATCCGTATAAAATTGAATGCGAGGTACAGTCCGTCCTGCTTAACATACGCCACATGACAGCAACGACTTAAACGCCCACAAACTAATAAACAAAGAGGCGCTGTTATTTCTGGAGGAGATTCGCCATCAAGGCTAATTGGGAAATTACTTACGAAGATGATCAGCGCAATCTGACGATCATTATTCAGAAGATGATAATGTGCAACAGGCCATAAATAAGCCTGGTGTCATGATCTTGTTCCCTGCGAGTTAACGTTTAGAAATTAAACTAATGACTCCACACTTGTTAAACTCGCTCCATCTAGGCATGGGACGATAACCGGTTTCAAGGTTTACTGGGGTTTGGAAAATTCATGGTTTTGAATCAGCTTAAATTTTCTGTCATACCATTCCTGTACCTACTCGACACAGAAGTATAAATCACACTTTAACACTCATTCTGCAGAGGCGACTTCACCTGTCTGTGCTGAGCTCACCTGCGAACGTCTGCGGAGAAACCTGCTGAGAAACCCATGGGGACACGGCCGGCTGCTGAGTCTCCTTCTGTCGCACGTCCAGAGCTTTCCAGTCAGCTGCCAGCTTCTCGATTTTACTCTACACACAGAAACATACATATTAAACAAAAAAACACAACAGAAGCTGAGAAACTAAACATACACAGTTAAAGTCAGAATTATTAGCCCCCTGAATTATTAGCTCCCCTGTTTATTTTTTCCCCAATTTCTGTTTAACGGAGAGCAGATTTTGTTCAACACATTTCTAATCATAATAGTGTTAATAACTCCTCTCTAATAACTCATTTATTTTCTCTTTGCCATGATGACAGTAAATAATATTTATTTTATAATAAGACTTGATATTCTTCAAGACACTTCTATACAGCTTAAAGTGACATTTAAAGGCTTCACTAGGGTAATTTGGTTAACTAGGCAGGTTAGGGTAATTAAGCAATATATTGTATAATGATGGTTTGTTCTGTAGACAAAAAAAATATAGCTTAAAGTGGCTAATAATACTAACCGTAAAATGTTTTTTAAAAAATTAAAAACTGCTTTTATTCTAGCCGAAATAAAACAAATAAGACTTTCTCCAGAAGAAAAAATATTATCAGACATACTGTGAAAATTTCCTGAATCTGTTCAACATCATTAGGGAAATATTTAAAAAAAAGGAATAAAAAATTCAAAGGGGGGTGAATAATTCTGACCTCAACTGTTACAACAGTTCTGTATGGTTCTCGAATCTGAAAGCTGCAATATTCTGCAATAACAGCCCTTGTACAGCGTCTTTACCCTGCTGTATTACCCTGCCCACACACAGTGGCAGCAGATCAATCAACTCACTACAGTTTCAGCCATCAGCCTGTCATACTGAGCTGAGCAAAGACGGTTGACGTTCCACCACAAGATGGCGACAGAGACCGCATGATAAGCCCCTAGTGGAAGACTCAAACTCAAGAGGAAAATTTTAAACTACAGCAGATCAAGTCATTATAAAACAGGAAAGCGACTTTCTAAGTCGATCTCTCTGCTGTGTTTATACCACAGTAATCTGCTAGTGTTTGCTCTGCTTCTGCTTTTTCAGGGTTAATTATTCTGATCTCCCGATTGCAACAGAGAAATACTGAGAAATCGCTGTAGACTGATGGCATTTCATGCTGTTCAGCCTTATAATCTTACAACGTGAGCAAAATCAGCTGTTTTGTCTTCACTTTAGACATTACGCTAGAGAATCATTCAAACACTAGCTCTACAGTGACGTGTGTGAAGTAGCAGCACCTTCTGCTGTTCTGAGGTCAGCTGCAGATGTGAATGAATGGCGGAAGAAAGTAGTTCCTCTTAGATAAGGATTTTGAGAGTCTCCGTGTTTGATTTTCTTTTGTATTGTGTTGAACTGTTGTATAAACGCAATATCACACTCGTAGCAGTGCAATATGGCAGAATATCACCACTGCTAGGGCACTAAAGCCTCGAGCCAACGCACGCCTCCCACCAGTGCTGATATGTGATATTGTGTGATATTGCTCAGATACAGCACAAAACATAAAAATACGTTTGTGGCGAGGGGGCGTGGCCGAGAGCAGTGGGAACGGAGTGAGGCCACCGCGTAAGTGGATACACCTGCGGTGCGAACCTGCTTCGGATCCCACGGAAGGAGCTCTGGACGATAAAAGGAGGAACGATGGCAGAGGAAGCGGAGAGAGGACCGGGCCCGGGCATTTTACTTTTGCTTTCAGTTTGACGGCAGTCTCCGTGAGGAGCTGCCGTCCGTTTGTTTTGGTTCAGACGGCAGCCTCCGTGAGGAGCTGCCATCACTGTTATTAAGAAATTATTTAAAAACTGTGTCGGTTCTCCGCTTATCATCCAGAGCTCCTTCCGTGGGATCCGAAGCGGGTGCGCACCGCAGGTGTATCCACTTACGCGGTGGCCTCACTCCGTTCCCACGGCTCTCGGCCACGCCCCCTCGCCACAACGTTCTAATGAAAATACAGAATATAATCTCATAGTAAAGAAGAAAAACACAAACCTTCTCCTGTGGTAAAAGCAGCTGTTTCCTCTGGAGCTCAATAGAGTACGACAGCAGATCCTCCAGCTCACACTTCTGCTCCAGCATGGACATCTCCACAGCCTACACACACCACACACACACACACACACACACACACACACACACACACACACACACACAAACACACACCACACACACACACACACACACACACACACACACAGAGACACACACACAAACACAAACACAGAACACACAAACACACACACACACACACACACACACACACACAGTGCAATCAGACCTCAACACTAGACATGTGATATGTAAGCGTGATATTAATTTGTAGTGTGCCTGGATTTAACGTAGGCTTGCTGGACTGTGGCGTGTGAAGCTGACACCACATCTATACTGTATGCTCTATTCAAATTATTTCCATCTTGGCTGAAAACATTTCCTTTTCTATGTCTTTAACACTGGGGGCCCTATCATACACCCGGCGCAGTGTGGCGCAAGGCGTGGCGCAATAGTCTTTTGGTAGTTTCAGCTTGGCGCAAGAGTGGTTTTGAGGCGTTGTGCTGCGCTGTTTAAATAGCAAATGCATTATTGCTCATATGTGCGCTCATAGGCGTTCTGGTCTAAAAAGGAAGGCGTTCTGAGGCGCACTGCTGGGGCGTCGCTATTTTGAGAAACTATAATAGATTTTTGATTAGACCAAAACAAACCCGGTCTAAACTCCAGCGCAGAGTTGCGCCTCGCTTACACACTGCTTAATACACACAAGAGAGCAATAGGCAAATATCTTTACATATGAAAAAATTAAATATTAAGGATATAATAAGAATAGATATAGGATATAAATATAAAGGATTCAAATATTACAAAACATATTATTTTCTAGCCTACATAAATATGAAAAACCACTGCTTTATGTCTTCTTCATCTCGGGAGGCTTTTTCAGTTCATTCATAACAATTTGCTTTTGTATAATGTTATTATTATTAGCAGTATTATTTATTATATGCATATTTATATTTGTTTTATTAAAAACAAGCTTAGATTTGCCCACCTGTCAGGTTTTAGATCATATGGGGCACAGCATGTGTTTTAGGATATAACTCAGGTTTTTGAACACACTTGGTTATTATTGTTCATTTATTCGTTTGCTGGAAATTAGAACTGAATTTAGAAATAGTTTTGAAACGAATATTTGCGCTTAACAAACAAAAGTATTTATTTATAGACTAATTGATGTCTGTGCGTAAAGGTTTCCCTATACAAGAGCGAAAGTGAAAGTAGATCCATTATCTCTCATTCTCACGCAGTAGATGCTCTGTTTAACAGTTTTCTGTTAAAATACTGTTAACTGTTAACTGTTTGCTTGTGAAATGTTCATTTTTTCCACTTAGACTTACTTTGCGTCCTGTAAATAGCGAATGCGCTCTTGGCGCGACGCAGCTGGCTCTTAAAGGGAATGGGAGATGACACTCTAATTGGTTTATTCTTAAAACACACCTATAACTCATTAAGAAAATAAACTCAACCCTTTTAGAACATGTGCCACGGCGCAAAGCAGATTTTCCCGTCCTTAAATTAGCAAAAACGCGTCCTGACACGCCCTGAAAGCGTTTGCGCCCTGCGTTTTGCGCTCTGCGCATGGACCGTCAAAATAGAGCCCTGGAACTACCAGAATTCTAAGCGCTTCTGGTGAGCTGTGTGCCGTTACAAAATCGGCACGTTTTAAGGTCTGTTTTCTTTAAAAGTCAGTGATCTCCACTGGCTGAGTGATATCTGATATAAACTGGGTCTCAGATTGTACAAGAAGCACTGCATTACATTACATTTCCCCCACCATGTCTTTATAATATGAGCATTTATTTTACCCCAGTATATTCAATGGAGCTTCTGCGCTATCCTGCTGATCCTGACGGCGTGCGCAAGTAAACGTCTTTTCGTCTCGTTTTACGTTTGAGCAACTAAATGAATACTTAAATCTATTTCACAGATTGTATTTAATTTAAATGACAACATCGATGCTGTAAAATGGACCATATGAAATGGAAAAGAGTCACATTAACCGTTCACCGGAAGTGTATCAGTATGGGAAGAAACACTATGCATACACCCTATTGATAATCTATAATACTGCCAATTATAAGACTGGGATATTTATTTTGTTTAAAAATAAGCCTATTCTGTTCCAAAAGGCTGCGTTCATTAACAGAAAACTCACTAAAAATGTGAAATGTTATTGCATTGTTCAGTAATATTGCGTGTGTTTGACATGTTTGTCAGTGTGTGTGTGTGATTGACCTGTCTGTCAGAGTGTGTGTCGTCGCTCAGGCTCCGGCTGCTGGTGTACACCCAGTCTCCCAGTGTGTTGATGCGCTCCTGGAACTGGCCATACGAGCGGCTCTCGTCCTGCAGCGGAGGAGTGTGTGTGGGCAGACCAGCCTCCACCTCACGCACCTTATCCAGCAGCTCAACACTCACCTAGACACACAAACACACACACACAGAGAAAGAGAGAAAGAGAGAGAGACACTATGAACAAAAGCGTCTGCTATATGACTAAATGTAAACAAAGCTGTGTATCGCATATGTGGAGAGTGCTGCTCTGATTCATGCATTTATCCATTTTCTTTTCCGCTTAGTCCCTTTATAAATCTGAGGTCGCCACAGCGGAATGAACCGCCAACTTATCCAGCATATGTTTAGGCAGTGGATGCCCTTCCGGCTGCAACCCATCACTGGAAAACATCCATACACACTCAATCACACACAAACACTTCGGCCAATTTAGGTCATCGATTCCCCTGTAGCGCATGTGTTTGGACTGTGGGGGAAACCGGAGCACCTGGAGGAAACCCACGCCAACACAGGGAGAACATGCAAACTCCACACAGAAACGCCAACTGACCCAGCCGAGGCTCGAACCAGCAACCTTCTTGCTGTGAGGCCACAGTGCAAACTAAAGGTCTGCATTTCTGCGGCTGTCCCGTGGGTGCTGCGGGACCCGACCAGATTTCTGCGGCGCGGGTATAAATTTCCGAATAAATCGCGGGAGCGGTCGGTAACGGGTTTAATTTGGGACGGGAGCGGGCCGTCTAGCAATATCACTCCCGACTCCCGAGTGAGCACGCATATGTATGTGTGTAAATGAAATAGCGCGATGCTGTGTTTAGCTTGTTTGGTGCTGTGTGTGTGTGTGTGTGTGTGTGTGTGTGTGTGTGTGTGTGTGCGCGGGCGCATGAGAGTGAGAGAGCTTTGCCTGTGTGTGTGTGCTTGGTGCTGTGCGTGTGTGTGTTTATACAGACAGCTTGTTATAGCCTGTCTGGACTGTATAACTAGGTGGTTTTCGGTTTTGTTCTTCCCGCGCTTATTTTTAGCGGGATCGGGCGTGGCGGGTAGAAAACGGGGCGGGTCGGGCAGCGGGACAACAAGTGCTTAATATAAGCGGGAGCGGTCGGGTTCGGGCTAAAACCTGGCGGGTGCGGGCGGGAGCGGGATTCAAAATTTAGTCCCGCGCAGATCTCTAGTGCAGACCACTGAGCCAACTTATATATATTTGCTAATCCTTCGTTAATTGTGAATGTTTGATTTGACTTCAGTCAACTCAGACAGCTTTAGTCTTAGTTTTGGTTTACTAAACCAGGGGTTCTCAAACTTTTCAGCTCGCGACCCCCAAAATAACAATGCCAGTGGCTCGAGACCCCCAATATCCTCTGAGGTTGTTATAAATACAGAAACTTTGCATGCAATGGCGCACACACACCAATAGAGCAAAGTTTATACTTCATAGATTTTTTTTATGTATGTTAGGGCTGTAAATGGCCCAGAAAGCTTAACCTGGTGTTATAATATCAATCTGCTGCATCTGAAGCTATTGCTGTGTCTTTAATATAATGTAATTACCCCAGCGATCGCAGTTGAATAGAACTAGTAACTATTAGCTACTATATTAACTATATAAAGTAGTATATGGTAACTATAAATTACTATTTTATTCTAGGTTATGGATAAAATATGGTAATTCTTATGGTTTACTAAAAATAAATAGATTTTTGGAAATCACCAGGCGAGCCCCTTTCATTGTCCCACGACCCCTCGGGGGTTCCTGACCCCCACTTTGAGAACCACTATACTAAACTAATCTTTGCTAGACAGAGAAACAGACATGAGAGGTGAGTGTGTGGGTGTGTGTGGGTCTCATACTTTACTCCAGCGCATGTTGATCTGTCTTATTTTGCTGACATGAGCGTCTCTGTCCTGAGCACTCAGACTGCAGTTGGACAGGATCTGAGAGCCGCTCTTATTCAGCCACGACAGAGACTCGTTCTGACCGTCCATCTGCTCCATCAGACACTGAGAGAGGCAGAGAGAGTGCTGTGTGTTAATGCAGGTATTCTGAGCCACTGATGAATTAAACACGGTGTAATGTTAGTCTGTTTGTTCATAACACAAGTGACAGCAGATTCACAGCTACACTCTGGGCTAATTTTATTAGAAAAGCATTACATTTGTGTGTGTATAAGCACGTCTGTGTGTGTGAGTGTGTACATGTGTGCGTCTGTATCATTGCGCATATCTGTAAGTGACTGTGTGTGTGTGTCAGCGTGGGTGTGTGTGTCTGTGTGTAAGTATGTTTGTGTCTGTGCGCATGTGTGTGTCTGTGTGTGAATGTGTGCGTGTGAGTCCGTATGTGTGAGCGTATCTGTAACTGAATATGTGTGTGTGTGTGTGTGTGTGTGTGTGTGTGTGTGTGTGTCAGCGTGGGTGTGTGTGTCTGTGTGTAAGTATGTTTGTGTCTGCATGCATGTGTGCGTCTGTGTGTGAATGTGTGCGTGTGAGTCCGTATGTGTGAGCGTATATGTAACTGAATGTGTGTGTGTGTGTGTGTGTGTGTGTGTGTGTGTGTGTGTGTGTGTGTGTGTGTGTGTGTGTGTCTGTGTGTAAGTATGTTTGTGTCTGCATGCATGTGTGTGTCTGTGTGTGAATGTGTGCGTGTGAGTCCGTATGTGTGAGCGTATCTGTAGGTGAATGTGCGTGTGTATGCATATATGTGTGTGTCTGTGTGAGTATGTGTGTGTCTGTGTGTTATCTGTCTGTCTGTGTGTTTGTGTGTCGGTATGTGTGTGTGTGTGTGTATGCGTGCGTGTGTCTGTATATGTAAGCGTTTCTGTCTGTGTGTGTATGTGTGTGTGTGTGTGTGTGTGTGCGCGTTTGTGTGTGTCTGTGTGTGTGTGTTTGTGTCTGTATGTCTGTCTGCATGCATGAGTATGTTTGTCTGTATATGTGTGTGTGTGTGTGAGACCTTGAGTTCTCTGAGGTTAGTGTCAGTGGCTGAAACAGTCAGTGTTTCCACAGCGCGCTCTGTGTGCTGCAGCCACTGCGCCAGTGCATCAGTCCTCTGAAGAACCTCCACCACAGCCGGATCTCCACCCGCCAGCCTGCACCAACAACATAAACACACACACATGCACATCAAACACACAGTCACACCTGAAACCATTACTGAAGTGACCGAAACTGCAGTTCATTGATGGGCCACTAGGGGGCTGGCTCCAGACGTGAGCAAATCCTCATAGACCGCCATGTTAAAGTGCTCAACTTTACAGCAGAAAAAAACTTGTTCACAACCTGGTACAAAAACTGTTTTGGTGTAAATAACTAATATTACCCCTCATGACAACTGTGAGGGGGGGAATTATTTTATAACTCATCCGTTTATTTCATATTAAGCCATAAAATTCTGCATAATTAAGGGAGAGGCCACTTGATTGTAAGGACTCAGCTGACACCAAATGCTGAATTTGGCTTATACATATCATAGTGTGTATGTGTGTGCTGACCTGCGCTGGCGTTCAGACACTGCTCTCTGCACGTGTGTAAAGCGGCGTCTCAGTGTGTCCAGTTTCTCCTGCAGCAGAGCGCCGTCAGCGGAGGAAACCTGAGAGATGATGTGCTGTCCAGACCTGCTCAAATCCAGCAGAACACTCTCCTGAGAGGACACGCCCTGCTCCAGATCCTGCACACACACGCACAAACAGTTATGAAACACAAAAATAAAACCCACATCCACATGCAATTAGACACACACACACACACACACACACACAGTTAATCGGCACTTGACTCATGAGTGTGTTAGACTCATAAACAGGAAGTCAGCTCTTGTCTTTGAATGTGATTGAGGGCAAAATGAGTCTGACCTTAATTTGTTTTTGAGGACAATTTCACATCCAACTCTGCCTCGTTCTGCACTCACACACACACACACACACACACACACACGAGTCTAATAAAGAAATGTCCTCGCTGGAGTTTCAGCATGTGAATGAGAAACACTCATGAAAACAGCACTCGCTCGCTCGCTTACTGTGCTCAAACACTTTCCATCTGTTTTTAATAGTGAGTTACAAGTGCTTATATGATTATTCATGTATACATTATCATTTAATTATGATTAGCATATGATTACCACACAATTATCAATTAGCGTCGCAGTTAGCATGCATGATTACTGACTTTTAAGATCTCATTCGCCATCACATTTCACTGCTTTTCCATTCTGATTTTATTAAGTCTTTATTTTAGAAGTCTTTCAGTTTAGAACTATTCCAGCATGGATGTTTTGCACATCGGATGCCATTCCAGCTGACACCCAGTACTGGGAAACACCCATACAGACTGTATCGCCAATGTAAATGAAGAGGGGCTGGTGGTAGAGGAGGGCGTTGGTGTTTATTGAGCCTCCTAATAGTAACTCTGGGGGCCCCAAAATGGCGTGGGCCCATAAAATTGTCCTAACTCCACCCTCCCACCTTTCTGTGATTGGTTAAGGATTACCGATGCATTTGTCTCTATGGGTAAAGCTAAAAATAACACATGGCAGTAAATGGTCAAAGTAGTGCATTTATGACAATACATTAAAGTGCAAAAGTGATGCTAAATCAATGTTTGAAAGCAGAAGTGTGTGCAGTTTAGTGTGTCCACTGCCATACTGCAGTGACAGAAACACAACACGTCTATTTTTTTAATTTCCTGACGTTAACCCTTTCAAACGTATCATCACATCTTGGCTTGTCGTTGAAGTGTACAAACACTTGGTGTGATCAGCTTTGGCTGGTCCCTGAATCATACAATCACACCAGTGTGATCAGCAATGGCTGGTCCCTGAAGCGAACGAGCACACCAGTGTGATCAGCTTTGGCTGATCCTTAAAGCATATAATCACACCGGTGTGATCAGACTTGGCTCATCACTGAAGCAAGTGATCAAACCGCAGTAATTAGCCTTGGCCGGTCCCTAAAGCAGACGATCACACCAGTGTGATTAGAGCGTTCAGAGCACAAGTTATCAACTGCTCAAATTACAATTTGACGATGTCACAACTAATCTGTGCTTTCAAACAAATAACATTTCACCAAACGAAAACATACCATTTAAGGTTTGTAAATGGAGACGGCAATAATTAATTTAACCTAGATAAACCTTTAATTTAATTTAATTTAATTTATCAATAAACCTAGAATCTAATAAAATACAATTTTATTAGGTTATGTTATATTAAGGCAAGTATCCTCAGCTGTATCCCATCAAGCTATAAAAATAAAATGAATGCGTAATTTAATAAATAATATAAATACTACTCGGTAACTTCCGATCGCAGCTTTATTCTAGCAACAACAGTCGCACCCATTACCCATTCTGTAACAAACAATATGAATAAGCTGCATAAAAGACAAAATATAAGTTTTATCACATTTTTAAGTATCAGAGTATCAGAAATTTTACAATATAATAAGAACATTTATCAATATTTACAGAAAAGAAACAAAAAACGATATATACACAGATCATTGGGTCACATGATAAACTTGACGGTCACCATGGGAACTTTATAACGCAATATATTCTAAGTAATGATCACAACAAAAAAAACTCACGCAGGACGGTCAGCTGGAGTATTTAAATGTCATGCATGAAAGGGTTAAAATAGGATCCAAATGCCAGTGATTTTGAGGCCCACCGTAACGTGGCGTAGGAGTGCATTTTCCCCGCCCACCGAATTGATTGACAGGCGTGTATTAACATGTCTCTGTAGTAACGCTTATAAACATGTGCACAGAACAGGACTTGCAAAGAAACTGTGATTAAAAGATCTGTTCAGCGCTCTGTGATCATCTGCAGCTCAACAATGAGTTTGACAAGTCTAAAACATCTTTATAGCAGTGCATGTGTGTAATAAACACAGTACAATCACTAATCTGTGTGTGTGTGTCTGACCTGCTGCTGTGTGTGTGTGTGCTCCGCATCCAGCTCTCCGTCAGTCAGTCTCTGCTCGGTGTCGCTCAGCCACTGCGAGAGCTCAGTCAGATCACAGTGAAACCTCCTCCACTCCTCCAGCGCTCCGTCAAAACTCCTGCACACACACACAAACACAGATGTTGTTCAATAATTAACTAAATGCTAATATATATTTACAGACACTGTAATGTACGGCTAATGTCACTCTGCATTGTTTGTCACCTGAATTTTCACCCCTTTAAATGTCATCCAGGTGCATTGTCACAGGTTTTCTTGCTTGCGTCAATTACGAAAATTAAACTAGTGTATTTTACATATTAAATTAAAGGTCTCCAGCTGGAAAGCTAATAAAAATGTCGTTTTATTTTCTGTCTATGCGATGATGAGTAGATCTTGCCTTTCTGCAAAGCCAAGGTTATGAATCTTGGACTAAAAAAAGGCTGGTGACCACTGAGCCAGACTATCTTCATCAGGGTTTGCTGGTGAGCAGTATTGTTAAACTGGTAGATCAGCTGGTCCAGCATTAAAAAGGCCACATCAGCATGGACATTTGCAGAGTTTTGTTTGTTTTTTGTTTTCCCCAGCACTAGTTGTTGATGTAAGCACACGTCTGCAACACTTGCTGAGGAACTGGGTCATGTTAATCTGGAAAACTGTGAAAGAATGACTGTGTGTGTGTGATGGAGCTGAAATCCTGCACACCTTCCAGAAGAGCCAGACTCGTGCATTATTAACAAAGAGTTTTCTCAGACAAAACACGTCTGGGTCACATCTCAAACCCCCAGAAATCCAAAAAACGTCTATAATGAGAGACATCGGCATGAAGAGGAAGTGGGTTTTATGCTTATTTGGGATTTTTGAGACTATACTCATCACAAACAAACACAAACATGTACAGTGTGGGTAAACGTGTGATATAATGACAGGTATTTGTGTAGATGTCTGCTGATCGTCAGTTCAGTCATTAGATCAGCATCGTCTGCTGCATGCTGTTGTTCATCTGAGCTTTTATTGTGCTGATATTAAAAGATACAGGATTTAAGATCAGATTGTTTTTGTATGTCCTGATGTTTGGAGAAAAAAAACTCTGATGGACTGTCGGATGGACAGACGGACAGATTAGAAGATAATGAGATGGAAGGATGGACTGATGGACTGATGGACTGATGGACTGAGGGACTGATGGATGGATGGATGAACAGACAAATGGATGGATGGATGGATGGATGGATGAACAGACAAATGGATGGATAGATGGATGGATGGATGGATGGAGGGAGGGACAGACAGAGAAACGGATGGATGGATGGATGGATGGATGAATGGATGGATGGATGAACAGACAAATGGATGGATAGATGGATGGATGGATGGATGGAGGGAAAGACAGAGAAACGGATGGATGGATGGATGGATGGATGGATATATGGACGGATGGAGAGACAGACAGACAAACAGATGGATGGATAGATGGATGGATGTATGGATGGATGGATGGATGGATGAACAGACAAATGGATGGATAGATGGATGGATGGATAGATGGATGATAGATGGATGGATGGACAGACAAATGGATGGATGGATGGATGGATATATGGACGGATGGATGGAGGGACAGACAGACAAACGGATGGATGGATGGATGGATATATGGACGGATGGATGGATAGATGGATGATAGATGGATGGATGGACAGACAAATGGATGGATGGATGGATGGATGGATGGATGGATGGATGGATGTGTGGATGGATGGATGGATGGATGGATGGATGGGTGGATGGATGGATAGACAGACAGGCGGGCGGATGGACAGACAGACAGAATGGATGAATGGATGAATAGATGGATGGACAGATGGACAGATAGAAGGATGGATAGATTGAGTGACAGATGGACAATGGATGGATGAACATATGGATGGATAAATAGACAGACAGATAGACAGACAGTTGAACGAATAGACGGATGGATGGATGGATGGATGGATGGATGTACAGACAGATTCCTATCTACTCCAGACAGAGCTGTATAATCCCTCAGTGTTCCACAGTCTATCAATACCCATCAGCCATTAGTTTACTCAGACGTGTTGCGTGCTTCTGGTGTGTAACGTGTGTGTCAGTCCCGCTGGTGTGTGATGTGCATGTAAGTCTCGCTGGTGTGTAACGTGTGTGTCAGTCCCGCTGGTGTGCGATGTGCATGTAAGTCTCGCTGGTGTGTAACGTGTGTGTCAGTCCCGCTGGTGTGTGATGTGTGTGTCAGTCCCGCTGGTGTGTGATGTGTGTGTCAGTCTCGCTGGTGTGTAACGTGTGTGTAAGTCTTGCTGGTGTGTAACGTGTGTTTCAGTCCCGCTGGTGTGTAACGCGTGTGTCAGTCCTGCTGGTGTGTAACGTGTGTGTCAGTCCCGCTGGTGTCAGCGCTCACCCTTTCCTCTGGCTGTACATGCGGTTGACCCGGTCCCACTCTGAGTTCAGCTGGGTCAAAGCGTCTGCGATCTGGGTGGTCTCCTGTCTGGACGCTTCCAGAATGACGTCAGGCTGCAGCTCATGGATCAGCTGGACCTGCTCCCCCAAACAATCCAGACTCTGCTTTATACTCTACAGAACAACACAACAGCAGTCAGTACACACACACACACACACACACACACACACACACACTCTCTCCTGTGTATTATACTGCTGGTGGACCTGCAGAGCACTCATTTATTCTGTATAGTGTGTTTGAGTGTGTGTGTGTGTGTGTGTGTGTGTGTGTGAGAGCATATATGTGTGTGTCTATGTGTACTGTATATGTGTCTTTGATTGTGTGCGCGTCTCTGAGCATGTGTGAATGTGTGTGTCTGTCTGTATTTGTGTGGGTATGTCTGTGTGTGTATATGTGTGTGTCTATGAGTGTGTGTATGTGTTTACTGTATGTCTCTGAGTGTGTGTGAATGTGTGTGTGTGTGTGTGTGTGTGTGTGTGTGTGTGTGTGTGTGTGTGTGTGTGTGTGTGTGTGTGTTTATATGTGTGCATGTGTCTCTGAGTGTGTGTGGGGGGGTTTCTATGTGTCTGTCTTTGTGTATGTGTATGTGTGTGTGTGTGTGTGCGTGTGTGTGTCTGACCCTGAGTGTGTCCTCTTGGCTGGAGAAGTCTTCAAACAGGCCTCCGCTGAGCTCAGAGGAGTTCAGCAGCAGCTCGTTGTCCGCCATGGCCAGCAGCACTTTATTAATGTCCAGCAGATAGTCTGACGGAGACGCACACACACTCCTGTGCTCAGACGGAGACACACACACACTCCTCTGGTCCTGTGGAGAGACAGACGACTCTGATCTCTGAAGAGGAACAGAAGAAAACTCCAGCGCAGATTCAGATACAGCCGGAGCTCTGCTGATATCAAGATCCTGCAGAGAGACAACATGATGAAGATCACACACACACACACACACACACACACACACACACAGGCCTTGTTTAAAAACTTAAAGTACACATGGAATCAAAACTAGCCATGTTGATGTTGTGAGCTCACATTACTAGTTTCCTGCTGAATATTCATCTGTGCATGTCATTAAGAACAATATAATAGTTTGCTCTTATAATATAAAACTCAAATCTGACAATGCACTTCCAGTTTGAGTTCAGTTAAATCCTCAGATCAGGTCTGTCTGAGGTAGTGGGTGGGGCTAACACATTTAACCACGCCCCTCCAGTAGTCAGTTTTGACATCGAACAGAAATGGTGAGGGGGAGGAGTCTGTTAGGCTGTAATAACTCTCCCCAAACCCTTTCCTCATCTTTCTAAACGACACGCCTACTTTAATACATCCAATCAGCTTGCAGTAGAGAAAAACAAGCCACACCCATTTTCTCATTTAATATTCAGTTTCTCTAGGACAGAGATGCTCAAACTAGGACCCACGGGCCAAAGTTGGCCCTTTATATGCTTTGATTTGACCTGTCGGAGGGAAAATGATAGGGAAGGGTCGGAGAATGCCTTCAACAGAGATTCCCATTTCTATTTCAATGTTTTTGTCTTTTTATTGTTGAGCTACAAAAAATAAATAAATAAATTAAATGTTTTATTAAATGTTGTAAATGAAACAGATTTTAAAAATTGTACATAGTGTCACTTAACAAAAAGGGGACAAATCAAAATCATATACCAAAATAATATACCATATACCATATACCATATGAAAATAATATACAGTTTCGCAAAATTAGAATGCATTAGTAAATACGGTTGAAGTAATCTTTTCTTTTTCTTTTTAATTATTTTGAAATAAAATTAAATAACTTTAAAGAGCCCCTATTATGCAGGGCTGGATTAACCAATGGGCATTATGGACAAAGCCTACTTGGGGCACCTGCAAGGCCCCTTTTGATGCGCTCGAACATGAATCGGTTCAAATCCAGCGTCTGATGAACACATTTGTCTTTTTGCCCCCACTACAAATCAGATTTTGTCTACTCTTCTTCACGAGGAAGACAAGTAGGAATCATTAATAAGTGTGTGTATCATGGAAGACTCAGATTCATGGAACTGGATTGGAGAGGTGTTAAATCCAAATCAAATGCATCATAAGTTTGTAGAAGTTTTACATTAAAAATACCCTTAAATATACATTTTAGTACTGCTCCTGTGAACTTGAACAAGTATATTAAAGTATAGTGCTTAAAATACTTTAAATATAAGTTAAATCTTTGTAGACTAGAAATATATGTACTGTATTTCATTTATTTGAAGAATGCGGGGAATACGTTATAGATTCATTTTATTGAAAAATATGATATGATATATGAAATGAGAGGAAATGTGTAGAGAATGAAATGTTTTGAGTGAACTATCCCCTAGATGTAAATGCTGCAAACAGTATTTTATTATATAATGTGTATATATATATATATATATATATATATATATATATACATACATATTTTGTTTCAAATATATCCAAACACGAGTGACAAAGCCAGAACATTCTGTTTACACAGCTAAGACAGTTTTAAATAAACATACTTGGAACTAATTATAATAATAATAGCTGTAAACTGTGTTGTAACATTTTTATAACAATAGAGATCGACCAATAATCAACTTCACCAGTGTGTTTTCCTGAAATGGAAGCGTTTGTGAGTTTTGCATTATCGGCTTCATTAATAAATGGCTCCATCGTGTGGGCATCTTAAGAATTGAGTGTCAGATCATCATCACTGCTGCTACTTAAAGGGACAGTTCACTCAAATCTAAAAATTCTGTCATCGTTTATTCTGCCTTTACTTCTTTTCAAACCTTTATGAGTTTCATTGATCTGTTGAACACAAAAGGAGATATTCTGAAGAATGTTGAAAACCTGTAACCATTGACATCTAATCCAGTACACATCTTCTTTGGTGCAAAAAAACTCTCCGTTGGAAACACTTTACAAGGAGAGGAAATAGATTTTATAGGTAAACTTTGATATTTAATATCTTCTGGGATTTAAGATTAATCCTTCATTTATTTAGCTTTTTTATTTTCTGATTTACAAAACATTACGAGCAATAGCAAAGTTACCTGTGGACAGTATTCATTCAGCTCCACCGACATTACTCTAAATAGATTTATCCACTTTCAACACTGTTAGGGCGTACTCACACTACGCCATCCGTACCGTGCCCAGACCCGTTTCCCGGATCGTTTGAGAAGTGTGAGTGCGCTGAATCGGGCTCAAGCACGGTTCACTTGGCCGGCCCTGGCCCGGTTGGAAGAGGTGTGCCTGAGCGCGGTTCACTTGGGCTTTGGCGCGGTACGCTTGTGTGTGAGTGCAAAACGTGCCAAAGCCCGAAACTGAAAGCGAGATGTGACTTTTAAGGGGCTGTTTCATATGGATTTATTAATCATTCTTACTGTTCAGTGAACGCAAACTGCCGTAGTTTATTAAAGACGAAACCACTCTCTGCACGACAGCTGCACCTTCAGCAAACGTGCAGAAAACGAGGGCTTTATGATTGTTTATGAGCGCCAAAAGTGGCGGATGTGTTCGGGGAAATATCTGACTGCGTGTCACCGCATCCCTAAGGACTGTTTGGCGAAATATTTGACTGCATATCAAACCACTGACACGATATAACTAGAGAAATCTCCACTGTGCTGCTGAGTAAGAGAGCGCTTCTCACTGAACAGCGCAGCATCGATGACGTAAGCGCGCCGAGGCCCGTTTGTGGTGTGAGCGCGGGCCGTCGGGGGAGACGGGAGGGGGGACAAGCGTGCTTTGGCCCGGTTCGAGACAACTGTACCTAGTGTGAGTACGGCCTTAAAGACCCCGCAGTCACTCTGCATAAGATGGAATAATTATAGCAGATGTCGTGTGTGTCTTGAGATTGCGATGTGTGTGAGACCTTGTAGCGTGTGTGTAGGAGCAGGAGTGTTGAGCGGATGTTTTCTCTTCTGTCCTCGTCACACACAGACGGCAGCAGCTCCTCTCCTCTCCTCAACAGCTCCTCAACATCAGCTTTCTCCTCATCCAGCTGCTGAAACACACAAACACACACTCCAGCTCAGGACAAACTCAGAGCGCAGTGAATGGGAGAGTACAGCAAATCATTATTTACAATCCTATCTGCTGAAATAATGAGGGTAAAGCTCCAGGATGGTGTGATCAAGACTTTCAGAAAGAGGAAAACAATAGTGGGAGACTGATAGCGGCAGCCGGAAGAGAACCATGTCAGATTTACTGTCCTGCACACACTGCATTACACACACCTCACACAAGCGCTCATTCGTCTTCTATGTAATTTGATGTAATGATGATCGAATACACACATAAACACATATAAATGATCATACATTCTTCAAAAAAAATCTAATATTCAATGACTTCCGAGGATTTAAGATGCTGATGACCCATAAACCCTTCATGAAAAGGCTCCATAGTGCTGTTTTGAATGCAGTGGTGTACCCGGTGCTGGTCAGCGGTGTGTGTTTTCTGCTGCTGCTCCAGAGCTCTGATAGCGTCCTGTAGCTCCGACTCAAAGAGTTGTAGCTGTGAGGAGGACAGAAGAGCGGCTGATCTCCGGTCTGTCACCTCCTGCTGCACCTTCAAACCTGCAGACTCCTGCATACAACACATACACACACACAGAACCCATCACTAGCTTGTTTCCATCCACCTCTTTCATGTGCATTTTAAAATATCAGATAAGACACTGATTAAAGCAGGGGTTAGAGCTGCACAATATCTCATTTCACATCGATATCACAATGTGTGCGTCCGCAATAGTCACATTACAGGATCTGCAGCGTTGAGGTGCGATTATAAATGATTAGTGCAACAACTGAGAACACACAGGGCTCTATTTTGACGGTCCATGCGCAGAGCGCAAAACGCAGGGCGCAAACGCTTTCAGGGCATGTCAGGACACGTTTTTGCTAATTTAAGGACGGGAAAATCCGCTTTGCGCCGTGGCGCATGGTCTAAAAGGGTTGAGTTTATTTTCTTAATGAGTTATAGGTGTGTTTTGAGAATAAACCAATTAGAGCCTCATCTCCCATTCCCTTTAAGAGCCAGCTGCGTCGCGCCATAAGCGCATTTTGACGTAAAGTAAGTTCGCTTTCGCTCTCGTGGATAGGGAAACCTTTACGCACAGACATCAATTAGCCTATAAATAATTAATTTTGTTTGTTAAGCGCAAAGATTTGTTTCAAAACTATTTCTAAATTCAGTTCTTATTTCCAGCAAACGAATAAATGAACAATAATAACGAAGTGTGCTCAAAATACTGAGTTATTTCCAAATACACCTGCTGTGCCCCATATGGTCTAAAACCTGACAGGTGGACAAATCTAAGCTTGTTTTTAACAAAACAAATATAAATATGGATATAATAAATAATGCTGCTAATAATAATAACATTATACAAAAGCAAATTGAATAAACTGAAAAAGCCTCCCGAAATGAAGAAAGTAAGGCAGTGGTTTTTAAACTCATCTAGGCTAGAAATTAATGTTTTCTAATATTTTAATCGTTTATATTTATATCCTATATCTATTCTTATTATATCTTATATATATCCTTAAGGTATTATATATTTTTCATATGTAAAGATATTTGCGTATTGCTCTGCATCTTGTGTGTAGTGTGTAAGCCAGGCGCACTTTGCGCCAGACAATAGACCGACTTTGTTCTGGTCTAAAGATCAGACTATTTACAGTTTCTCAATATAGCAATGCGCCAAAACACGCCTGCTTTTTTAGAGCAGAACGCCTATGGGCGCACATATGAGCGCAAATGAATTTGCTATTTAAACAGCGTAGCGCAACGCCTCAAAATGACCCCTGCGCCGAGCTAAAAGTAGCAAAAGAGTATTGCGCTTTGCGCCACATTGCGCCGGGTGTATGATAGAGCCCACAGAGTTCCCACTCTTTAACAAACACCAAATTGAAGGACTTTTAAATGGTGCAGTAAGTCTGACACCCAGTGGGTAAACTAGGTATTGCACTCCTTTTTTGAAGCCCGTTTTCACTCTGCTCCTTCTCTGACAACTCCACTCAAGTGCAGGTTGCCAGATTGAGGACATCAACAGGAGTGAGCATGACTATCGAGCCTAAAGGCTGATTTAAGTCGTGTTGTAAATTAAAGCAACGACATGCGATAGAAGGAATATACTCCATATTAAAGGGAGTTTTTGTCCTAATCAACACCTGACATTAATATATTAGAAACAGCTTCTATTTCTCACAGCTGAACAACAGAACACAATGATCAGCTCGGGTACAGCTCATGTGCTTTATTCAGTGCTAAATGCTAATAATGTGAGTCTGAATGCCAATTCACATTACATTTATTGCCATACTACTAAAAGATAGTTAGTTAGATAGTTTGCAGCAAATAGATATCTCACCTGTTCGCCAAAAATGACTAATTATATCCCTGGGAATGTCTGACACCGGCGCATATACATTGTAAAAAACGTGCCAGGCACGAAAGCTTCACAGGCGTAGCAACAGTAACTAAGGAGGGCGGGGCTTAGCGAAGATTCAATTCAATGATGACGATTTTATTTACAATTATAAATAAATATACAATTAAAAACGAAAAACAAACAAATTTAGCGCTAATACATCATAAATCATGCTTTAATTTTTGATACTTTGCTAAATAAAACCTGTTGAATTGAATACTGGTAATATTCATATGTGGTTTCTGAATTATTGATCAAATGCGCATTGTTTGTCATTGTGCAAGATGACAGAGGCAGGGATCTCTCACCTGTGCAGAGCTGATGTGCTGCGCCACCTTCTGGAAGTTTCTGTTGAGGTCCTCCAGTTTGGGCTCCACCAGCTCTCTGCAGGACGGCCCTCTGCTGGTCATCAGGATCACAGCCTGATCTCGAGCGCTGTCCACACGCACCGTCATCTCCACCAGCTCACACAGCACCGCCTGCAGGACACACATTCAGCACGGTCTGATCTACTGCGGCTCACTAACAGCACTGGGTCATATGGAGAAAACCATTGTGCCTGTAAATTACATCTGACCACCGAGAGCTCTCCTAAAAAGTGTAGTAAATATTTAGTACGAGTTTTCTCTAAAAGACGAGCTACTATGCTGCTTTTTACAAGATGTAAAATGCGTCTCTGATATCTCCAGAGTGTGTGAATGTGTGTGTGTGTACACTCAAAAAAATCAACTAGGCATGTATTGGATTTACAAAATAAAAATTTGTCAGATTGAAAAGAACAAATCAAGTTTACGTATGTTAAATGATTAATTCGTGTTATTTGAAACCGAATCAAGAAATAATCAAATGAATTTGATCAGAACATGTTGATTCAATGAGACTGAGACGCTTCAAATCGACAACTCTCACTCTGGAGAGTCACTTCGCGCATATCAGTAGGTGGCGGTAGTTTGGATGTCACCATACGAAAACAACAAGAAGAAGTATCACCGCGTGTTTTCGGCACAGTTTGGGAATTGGTTTTCCCAAGAGCTTGAATGTTATGCATGTTATGTTGTTGGCTAAATGTTTCCTGTACATTTTATACTTTTACATTTTGAATAGGAGTACCAAAGTGAAGAAAGCTGTTTAAACTCAATAGGTAAAAAAAAAATGATGTTAACGTCCTACAGGTATTGCTTGGGGACCAGTTTTCTTAAGAGCCGAGGTTATTTTGTTGGCTAAATGTTTCTTATACATTTTATATTACATATTACAATTTTGGATATTATATAACATTTTGTATCAGAATATTAAAGAAGAAATTTGTTTAAATGTGATTGGTGCCTGCTAAAGGCTATAATATATATATATATATATAACATGTTTTCTGTTCTTATTGTGTTGAATTACTTAATTTTAAATCTTGCTTCATTGTATTGTCATTTAAAAAGAGTCATTTAAACAACAATATTGAACAAGAAATTTTCTAGCTGATTTAACAAGACATAATTTTGTTAAAGTAAAGCTTTAGTGTTACATTGAGTAAAGTAGAATCATTTTAATTAGAATAACACAATACAAACATTTTGAGTCAGTTAGTTGCAAGGAATTAGACTGACATATTGAAACCATGTTTTATCTACAAATGTGCTTTGTGTTCATACAACATGTTCAGAGCAGTTCAGGTTTACTTGATTGGATTAGATGCATAAAGGGTGCCACGATTAAATCATGTTCATTCAACAATTTTTTTTGAGTGTATGTGAGCTCAAAATAGCACACAAATAATGTTTTAAACTCTCTGACACAACATTCACATGGGCCGTCAGCGTCAACGCTTGCCATTCACTTTGAATGGATGACGTCAGACTTTGCCGAACTGCATTGTGGATCTGTCGGCATCGCTTCAGAGGTGTTGCTCACTGCAGAAGTTGGGACTTGCTCAACTTTTCAAGCGCTGACGGAAGCGTCAGCCAATCAGATCGCTGTATGCAAATACACCAGCTCAGACAGTGGCCTATTGCTGACTAATTTCATTGGCTGACGCTGCTATGACGATCACGTCAGCCCCAACCTTAGACACGCCCTCTGTCAAGCGTTGACGCTGAAGCCCCGTGTAAATGGAGCGTGAAACTGACCCTTTCAGGCTTTGACCTTTATTGTGGCGTTTTGGTGACTGCCGCTTTAAATTTAAATGAGATTGTGACCTTTTCAGAAGAGGGCGGAGCTACAGATGCCTGTGTGTCAGCATAGTGGCAGATTCAAAAACAAGACTAATGTCCTATGCTAATGAGGAAGAGATTGTCACTGGTAGGCAGGGCTTTCCCCTCATTTCCCCCTGACAAATATTGTAGGAAATACTGTGAAAATTTTCTGAAAATCATTTAGGAACTATTTGAACAAGAAACAAAAAGTCACAGAGGGTGAATACTTTACACTTCAACTGTGTGTGTGTGTGTGTGTGTGTGTGTGTGTGTGTGTTACCTGTATGATCCTCTGTCTGTCGGCTGCAGGTTTCTTCTCCATCTCGTCGAGTCGTATCTCCGTCTGATAGAGCCACGTGCTGATATGAGCCAGATTCTCATCAAACATCTCCACCTCACGCCTGTGATTCTACACACGCACACACACACACACACACACACACACAACAAGATATAGGATATCAATCTAATGGTGCAAAAACAGCACCAACATCACCAAAGTGAAAGAGAAAGCTGTGGCCAAATTAAGCCTCAAAATCAGCCCAGAGAGGATGAAAATGACCCAGCAGCACATAAGGGTCTTGTATGATCTGGATGATGCTCACCAGTACAGCGCTGAGCCAGTCCTCTATGAGTGTGTGCACTCTCTCCCAATCCTCATTGAGCTCAAAGAGCCGGTCCTCCAGCTGAGCCTCGCTCCCCTCCACTAAGGCCTGCAGGGCGGCGCTGTCCTCCATCAGCACTGACAGATCACTCTTCCTGCGCTCAGACTCCTTCAGCACACCCTGAACACACACACACACACACACACACACACAAATAATGCACTGCATGTTAGAAGTGGAGTAAAGATACACATACATTCATGAAAACACACACATTTGAGAACACACGCATGCGCACACACACACACACACACACTGACGTTGGCCCAGCTGATCTCGCTGTCGATGTCTGCAGGCATGTCTGCAGTGCTCAGCTTCTCCTTCAGCTCAGTCTCGCTGTTCTTCATCCAGACCTGCAGGGCGGCGCTCTCCTTCTGCACACGCTGAGACAGACTCAAGGCCTTCTCCAGATCCTGCTTACCCTCGGTCACCTGACCACACACACATGTTTTAGAGAACATTAGATTAATGGTTTTTTACGTCAGTCAGTGTGTAATGTTGCATGTGCTGGTGTACCTGAGCGCCCAGTTCATTGTAGAGTAACTTGAGGGCGGTCAGCTGCTCGTCCATTTCTTTAGGATTCTCCGTCTGTTGTTTCTGTACGATCTGTCGTCCGGTTTTAATCACCGTCTCCACCTCCAGCTTCACCTCGCTCAAGATCTTATACAGTTTCTGTGTTAAAAGAGACAGAACGTTTAGATAAAACACCAGCAGTCTGAGCGCTTCAGTTCTGCTGCATGATTAAAACATGAAAACCCGAAGCTACACAGAAAATAAAAACAAACTAAACTGCTAAAAAGAAATAACTAATAATGGAAACATCTATACACAATAATAATAATAATAAATGTAAAAAAAATAAATAATATTAATAATAAATGAACAGACAATAATGAAAAAGATAAAATAAGATAAATTGACAAATAAAAAATAAAATAAAATAATAATAAAATAAAATAAAATATATATTAATTAAAAAATAAATAAATAAATAAACAATAAATAAAAAATATATATAAAAAATTATTAAAAAATAACAATGAAATAAAATAATTATAAAAAAGAATAAATAATAAAATAATAATAAAATAAAAAATAACAATAAAATAAAAAATGGATAATAAAATAAAATAATAAAATGAAATGAAATGAAATAAAATTAATTAATTTAATAATAATTTAGCAACTAGAACAAAAATATATAAACGAATAAAGAAATATAAAGCCAATTTTAGCTACTCTTTAAAAATGAAAAAATAAATAAATAAAAAATACAATACAAAACACATACAAAATAGAACATAATATAAACTGATTAAAATAGAATTACATTAAATTATTTCAATAATGCAACTAAAACAAAAATGAACAAAAACAATCATTAATAAAAAAGCTCCTAACAATTTTTACCAAAACTAAATGTACAGGAAATCTGAGAAAATATAAAAAATATTTCAAAGCACAACACTACTGTAAAAACATACTAAAAACAGAGCATACTATAAACTGTTTAAAATATAATTTAATTAAATGACTGCAAAAATTAATACACAATAATAAACTAAATAATAATGACTTCATTTCTACATTTACTACCTATAAATTACTACATTTCTGTGTAGCATCTGCATGTTCTCCCGTGTTGGTGTGGCTTTCCTCTGGGTGCTCCGGTTTCCCCCAAAGCCCAAACACATGCTCTATAGGGGAATTGATCAACTAAATTGGCCGTAGTGTATGTGTGTGAGTAAATGAAAGTGTATGGGTGTATCCCAGTACTGGGTGGCGGCTAGAAGGGCATCCGCTGTATAAAACATATGCTGGAATAGTTGGCGGTTCATTCCGCTGTGGCGACTCCAGATAAATAAGAGACTAAGCCAAAGGGAAATGAACGAATGATGACTAAACGTGCACTGGTGTGTGTGTTTTCTCACCATGCATCCGCTCAGGTGTGTCTGGATCTCGTCGGGTTGTGTGTTCTTCAGGTCCAGGATGTGCAGCTCAGCTTTAGCGCTCTCCAGAATCCTCCTGCAGTCCAGCATTCGCTGCTCAAAGTTGGCCGGCTTCTGAAACAGCTGGAATTTGGTGCTGATCTCACGCAGTTTACGCTAAACAGAGCAAACACAGTCAATGTTTTCTTCAAATGTTTCCCAAATGATGTTGAACAGATTCAAATATTATCTCCTTTAATATTTGTTCTTCTGGAGGAAGTCTTATTTGTTTTATTTGGGCTAGAATAAAAGCAGTTTTAAAGCCACTTTAAGGTCAATAATATCAGCCCCCTTCAGCAATATTAGTGTTGGATTGTCTCCAGAACAAACCACTGTTAATGACTTGCCTAATTACCCTAACTTTACCTTAATTATTACGGGTGTCACGATCCTCCAAATCCTCGATTCGATTACATTTTCGATTCTTAAGTCACGATTTGATTTTCGATTATGAATAATTAATTAATTAATTAATTAATAACAAATTAATTATTAGTAGCCTACCATTTAAACTACCTGACCTGCATGGTCTTTGTTTTACCCATAAACAAATCATACAGTAAATGAATAAAGGCAAGACATAATTACCACCTGTCAATCACTTATTTCTGCAGGACTCGTGAATAGGCAGTGATCTGTGTTGTTATAATGGCGTCGGTAAAAAAGACGCACAACCTACAGGAACCAGCCAACAGTATCTGAGATGTTCGCCAAAATGTGTGTGCGTCTGTGTCTGTGTGTGAATGAGTGTGTGTGGTCACGTGATGTGCGTTTTCAGCGGTAGTGAGGAAGGAGGGCTGCTCAGAAACGCTACACGCCAGTGTGGATGTGGATCGTTGTCGTTCTAAAATGCCATTTAAAAACAAAGACATATTAGTGTAAACAGGGCCTGAGTGTGCGAATTTGCAACGGGTGCGGGGCGGAGGATCGCGATGCGCCCATCGTCTATCATCTCAACCATAATACGTACATAGCAGAGCTTGTAGAGCAAACTGTGTTTTTTTTTGTCGACAACACAAACGTTGTCAACATAACTAACTGGAAATCCAAAATACTTCCACACCGGCGACTTCATTGAAAGAGGAGAGGGTTTAAGTTCTGTCGACGGGTCTCCTGCGTCTGCAGTTTAACAAGCACTTCAACAAGCCTGTTTTTTTCCCGCTTGGCAAGCCAAGCTAACGTGACATGGGGCGCGTGGCAGCATCGACGATTCTATTTTAAGATTCGATAATCGAAGTTAAGCATAAATTTCGATCGATTTCCATTAAAAAACGAAATCGTGACACCCTTATTAATTATGTATTGAAATTAAAGTTTATCGGTGACTGAAAACACGTTTCATTAAGTCCACTGAATAACAACGTGATGTAAAAATGTCAGTTGTCCATCAGTCCTGCGGGGGCAGTAGTGAGCCACACCTGTATCTGGTCCAGCTGGGTTCCTCCTCGCACTGGTTTGCCCTCTGAGGCGGTCAGAGGAACATTACCCACATTCCTCCGCCGCAGATCCTCCATTGTGGCCTCATGGGCTGCAATCTCCACCTGAATCGTCTGAAACGAAACCAAAACTGTAGATTATGATGGAGCCTTTTCACATGTGCATCTTCCTCAGTAGCAGAAGTCATCAAAGTTGGTGAACTCAGAGCGCAGTGAATGGGAGAGTACAGCAAATCATTATTTACAATCCTATTTGTATCCTATATCCTAATAGACTTTCAGAAAGAGGAAAACAATAGTGTGAGACTGATAACGGCAGCCGGAAGAGAGAACCATGTCAGATTGTGTGTGTGTGTGTGTGTACCTGAGCCTCCTGCGGCAGCTGGAATGCATCAATGCGGTCAGTGAGGTATGATGTGAGTGTTTGGTCCAGCAGTGTGAGGGACGTCTGGAGTGTGTGTAACGCCGTCTCGCTCTCCCGCAGAGTCGACAACTGCTGCTCCAGAGACATCTGACGCTCTGCGGCCTACAACACACACACACACACACACACACACATAAACAGAAAGAGATACACCCACACACACACATACAGAGTCAGACACACACATACAGACACACACACAAAGAAACCAACACTGACATGCACACACACTCTGCAGTGTGTGTGTGTGGATATGTTCTGAGGTGTGCTGTGGTCACCGTGTGTGTGAGCTGATCGTAGCGTGTGTTGAAGTTCTCCAGTTTGTCGCTGATGAGTTCGTCCAGGATTCCTCCGTCGATGAGCGTCTGCGCCAGCTCGCGGATCTGAGTGCGATTATCAGACGGATGACGCACGACACACTCCACAGACTGAAACACACACACACATACACACTATTAGCAACATCCATCAGTCATGCTATATAGCTCAAAACACACTGGGCTCTATTTAAAAGGTCCTGTGGAGTGCTTTAAATCTGCATTTTTATACTATGTTTAACGAAATCTCAACTGAAACATGAAGAGAGGGCGGGGCATACAGTAGCTCCTCCCCTTTCATTAAAAAAAAAACAGCCAATAGCGTTTTGTTTCATCACAGCTCTGCCAGTGAGAGTGGTCGAGCTCAAGCGCATCAAATAAACAGCCAATTAAAAGAAGTGGGCGGGGCATGTCAGACACTAGAGAGCATTTGATTGGTCAGAAGATTTGATGAGAAACTGAAGTATGAGGAGACGTGAATAATACTGCTGATCCATTTAGGAGGAAGAGACAAACTGCAAACGTTACATCAGGTTTATACACTCACCGGCCACTTTATTAGGTACCCCTGTCCAACTGCTCGTTAACACAAATTACCGATCAGCCAATCACATGGCAGCAGCTCAATGCATTTAGGCATGTAGACATGGTCAAGAGGATCTGCTGCAGTTCAAAGCGAGCATCAGAATGGGGAAGAAAGGGGATTTAAGAGACTTTAATCGTGGCATGGTTGTTGGTGCCAAACGGGCTGCTCTGAGTATTTCAGAAACTGCTGATCTACTGGGATTTTCACGCACAACCATCTCTAGGGTTTACAGAGAATGGTCTGACAGAGAGGAAATATCCAGTGAGCTGCAGTTCTGTGGGCGCAAATGCCTTGCTGATGAGGCCAGAGGAGGCTACATGCTTAGGATTGTTTTTTGTTGTTGAGCTGCAGCTGATCACAGAGCGCTGAACAGATCTTTTAGTCACAGTTTCTTTGCAAATCCTGCTCTGTGGAGATGTGTATGTGCGTTACTATGGAGAGATGTTAATAAGGGCCTGTCAATCAATTCAGTGGGCGGGGAAAACCGC